GAATTAAACACACGTGTCAATCGACACACAACCAAATCACATTTTTGGTTCACGGGCGTTACAGTCTCCCTCAACCATTATCGAATGATTCTTCTTCGAACATTTTTATTACGAAGACTAACAGAAAACCAATAATCAATTAACCAAACCCATCTTGGAGAGAACATGAATTGAATCATCNGGAACCAAGAACATATTTTTTACATTGGAAATGATACCGATGAGACATCTGGCAAGTCCTTATAAGCAATTGTAAGGATTCCATCAATTGTTTATTAATCTAACTGTGAGCAAAAGATATTTGAAGAAGAATTAAAAATCGGTGAAGTTGAGAAAAGAAAAGAACATGCAATTAGACCGCATGAGAGAGACTTAGAATTTAATCTTAAGAGAGTGGATTTCTTAGTGAAATTGTCTCTATAATTTTTTATCTAGAGAGTATATATTTGGATTTTGATCAGGACATAATTCGTAAATATTAGACGCCGTAAATTAAAGAATAGAAAATAAGGTTTTATAAGCATAATAAGAGATCGATTTGTATCTATTATCTCGTCGTTGTTTTCTTTTACTAAGTGTTGCCTCCTGATACTTGTATCCATCTTCCATTTGTCTTTCCCCTTAAAATCATCTTACTCATAAAAGAAATCAATAATGATTACTTATGTGTAAAGGGTCAAAAACTAAAGTCTTTAAATAAAAGCGTTTGAAAGTAAAGTTTGAACGATCCACCTCAAAATTCATCCTGTCAAAGAGTTCTTCTAACTGCAAGATGAGAAAACGATGATGTGATTAAGAAACATAACCACGTAGAGAATGTTAAAATGTTTATTAAGAAAGAAAAACAGATGAGATTAGTGCTACAAAATCCCTGCGAAGAAGAAACTGCAAACCCCAATCTCATCAATCCCAAACCAGAAGGCTCGTAAACCTCCACAGAAAACCAAACCTTAGTTTCATTGACAAAGATGAAAGAAAGGATAAACCTATTGCGGATGATTCTTTTCCAGAAATAAATTGTTTATGAATGGATAGACAAATTAAACTATAGAGAGAAAGAAAAGAGTAAATTAAATATAGAGATAGCAAATTAAAAAAAACATAGAGAAAACACAACATATCCGAACATAGATTGGGCCATAAGTCTGCAAATTAAACATGAATGGAATACGAGAATGTGAGAGCATGGGAAAGACATCTTGATGAACTGATCCTATTAGTTTAACCAAAAACACCACTTAAAAGTTCTCAATGAGGTAAAAAAAATACGAGTACGATATTACATACCGTTTCGTTTTCATCAATTTAGTACAATGGAACAGCGAGGAATTTGAAGTTAGTAGGCACAATAAACTGTTAATTTATCCGCAGTTTCAAAAAGAAAAACTTTGTGTATTCGTGAACAAAATATGAGGATAGAGCAAAGTTTTAAGTATAAGCGTGAATCTACAAAAGTCTCGACTTTAACTACCATAGAAGTGGAACCAACTAACCTTTGGGTGCATTGGATTGGAAGGCAAAAAAAAGATACATCGTCTAAAAATTGGGTCTCCACCACATCCGAATGCATTCTCCAAACTATTAAAATTTTTATAATTAGAGAGACCATTCTAAAGCCAGTAACAATCACAACAAACAATTAAAACTTTCATTCTTACCTCTAATCCTGAACAATGAGATTTTCATTAATCGAAAGCTCTAAGAACTAAGAAAGAAAAATTACGCATAGAGAAGTAATGAAACAGTAAAGTAAACCTGATTTTCCAGGCCTTAAACGACCACATATTTTATGACATCGAAAACGATTAACTAAAAAAAATTACCTCAAAAGAGATGATGAGATCTGTAAATTTGCTGTGAGAAGACGAAGGAATAAATCACGGTGAACCTGCTGCAAGAAGACGAAAGAAGAAATATGTTAGGATCGATGAAAAATTAATAAACGAAAAAGAGATAATTGTGACTAAACCCTAAAGCTCACAC